AATTTATTTTCTGGTGCTTTCACTTCCTGAGACAGTTGTAAGCACTGTGTAACTGCCTCGAGGGTGCTTGACCATTTTAACACAACGTGGTGCGATGATCCCCCTTGCGCGGAGTGAGGGTTCTCGACCCTGCACAACATGATCCACTCGACCACCATTATGGTTACCGCAAAAAAAAACAGAGGTAAACACTATAAACCGGTAACCTGGTTGCCGAGCTCACGAAGTGGGTTGGCTTGTTTTACAACGTCGTTACCAAGCGACGAAAACCCAACCCCGATGGTAAACACCGAGGGGGAGGGGGGGGCGGGAAAATATAGTTGTAAGTTGAAAGGAAAGAACGGTTGTACGTTGCGCGATTGATTGCGTTGATGCACGATTGACTACATGCCTCCAGTTGATGACGCAATTCCACATGCGGTCCATTACTTCACACCTTCATGGAGTGCTCCACAAACTCCTGCTACAGGTCACCCAGTTTTCCAGCCTGGGGTAGCTGCTGCTTCTTGTGCACGTTCCCATCCTCCATGACTTGATCCTCAAACCGAAGCCACCCGACTACTCTGTCCGCCATAGACCCCAGGGCATCGCAGTTCATGGGGATGCCGCCTGGGTTGCCAAACCCACATTCGGAGCACTTCATCGCAACGCATGCGGGCTTCCTCCCCCAGTGCTCAAACCTCCCCCCTCGGTCCTCCTCAAGAAAGTCTACCTTATCGCAAGCCAAAGCCTCAGAAAAGCTGTGCAAATCTTTACGCATGGCCATCCACTTTCCCCACCCACTCCCCCCGTCGCACCACTTGCACGTGCACTCACAGTTGGCATGTATTGCAGGCATCAACATCTCCAAGGCCTTCAGGTACATCCCGTGCTGCGTGTGGATCTGGCATGCACACTGCGATACCTTGGGTTCCACTGTGACACGCCAGAAGCAAACATTTGAAACGGACAGAAAGGAGCACAGCAGGTCAGCAACGAGGCCGTCCTGTGGGGCGGTCACACAGTAGAAGAGTCGATTACGCTGGGACGGTCACGACGCTGTTTCGTGAAAAAAAAACGAGCTCTCCCCTCATGTCTACCCACCTAAACACCCACACCGCGTCGAGAGGAACAGCGTCCGCCCAGGGTCCGTGAAGCTGCTGTCTTCCCTCAGCAGCTCCGCCTTAAGCCCCAAGTACTCCGGCCACTTCAGAAACTTGCGTCATACTTGGTCCCCCGCGACCATGAGCTGCCTACGGGGGTGATACTCCTCCCCTGCCTTCTTGGACGGCCTCCACATAGCTTTCGTCCCTACAGGGGTGTACGAAAGAACAGCAGTGTGCAGTGTAGCAGCAATAGTGAAGCAATCTAAAGGGGTACAGAAGAAGTGCAGTTGATACGCCACGTCGACCAAAAACGGCAACAAGGAGATACTCCGATCTACAACTGTACAACAACAAATTTGACAACGCTTACCGGAGTCTCCCGGCGCACGAAAATTTTCGTCAGAGTGCCAGAACCTCCTCGCCAAACCCATGACACGTTCGTCCATCTTGTCGCTCCTCTCCTTGCGAGGAGCCCAGAGGTATCTCTCCTTCTCCAAAGCTTCCTGTGGTGGTATGGTCTGGTCAGTCCTGTGCATCCGGGTACGCGATGCACGGAACGTGGGGTCTCTCACACCGAGACCCTGTGCTCGCGCGGCAAGGCTGACGGCACCATGCGGCTCAGCAGGTGCGCACGGCTCATTCGGGGTGCAAGGGTCATCAGGATCGCACGTGTGCTCCGCTCCAGCAGCTGCGGCAATGACGGTGTTGCAGGCAGCGCGGCCGATGTTGCTGTGGGAGTGTAGCTTCAGCGTCTCTATAAAGACGACCAGTGCGCGAATGTTCGCTTTCGTCGCCGCTGCCTCTCCAAGTTCGACGACACACAGCAACTCCCTCAGCTCCTCCTTCAACATATCATCCTCTAACACGCTCTGCTTCACCCCGTCGCGGTGCCGGTCGACAGCCTGCTTGATTACGGTAAAAAATGAAGCAGTTTTGACGAGAGAGGGGGGAGATGTGAGGATGGGACCCAATACTTTCGTGGGAAGATGGAGAGCAGGGGAAGTATACCGGTAATACAGCAGTCTAGCCTACAGGGAAATTCAAACATTTGAAAAATACGCAAGATATCACCCTATCTCTTGCCGTACGCCGCTCTGAACTCACCGTTTGCTGTTATCGTGGAGGAGTCGTCGTGGGTTGTGGGCTTCTCCTCGGTCCGCTGAAAAGAAGCGCCTCAAGCGGATCCGAGCGAGCGAGACTTGCATCGGCTCCTAATCTTGGACCTCGTTCTGCAGCAGCAGCAGCCACCGCAGCAGCGGCAGCAGATCTGGTGGCGGCTCCTTCCGGTTTCTTCTGGTGACCTTTAGTAGCCCGTTCTTGAAGGTCATCAACATGCTCTCGAGCCATATGTACAACGCCCTCGAGGCCATCCACCACAGAGCCTATTGCCTTGGTAGCCGCAGCCTCAGTACGCTTCCTCCGCAGTGTGGAGGTCAGGTGATAGCCCCTGGCGTGCGGGCGCCAGCTGTGCTTGATGACCCTCGCTTCTCCGGCAATTTTGATATCGCGCCTCAGCTCAGCTGCCGCCCCCGTCCAGGCGACGGGAAGGGAATGAGCAGTACCTCGTCGAGGTGGGTTCGGGAGACCCTGCAGTAAGTTCCTTTGTGGGTAATTCGACCAAGCGGAGTCGATTGGCGGGGTGAACCAGTCGCTCCGAGTTGATCTGCCCAGATTCTGCCCTGTGAACCTGTGAAATTGAATCCCGCCGCATATATTTTCGTCCAAAAGTGGCGCAATTGTTTTTTCCGTTAATATCACCCACACACCTCCTCCCCTCCCCGGCCTGCTCCTCGGCCGGGGCCGAAATCGACCTTGTGAGTCCCTCGCGGGCGAACCAGGCCACAACAGATAGTAGGTGGGTGGTGTCCCAAGGTGCAACTCACCGCCGCGCTGGCTCAGCGTGGCGGTGAGGATGCACAGACGGTGGTAGTGGCGAGAGGTGTATGTGGACCTTGTCCCCGNGCGCTGGCTCAGCGTGGCGGTGAGGATGCACAGACGGTGGTAGTGGCGAGAGGTGTATGTGGACCTTGTCCCCGCGGCAGCAATGCAAAGCGGCAAACTGCACCTGGTAACCACCCACTGAAATGCACCGTCGCGGAAAACGTGGCCCACGAAGCTGGAGGAGCAGAGAGATTCGTAAAAACCACGCGAGTAAGCACCGTTCGCGGGAGAAGGGAGATAACCGCGGGCGACGCGGGGGGGGAGTGCTGCACCCTCCTCGTCCAAACACCACAGGCAAGCACCGAGCCCTGCAAAGATGGATCGATGCGAAGAAACTCGCCGCTCGGATTAAACGGAAGAAAACACCCCCCC